TTTTTTTTTTTTTTTTTTTTTTTTTTTTTTTTTTTTTTTTTTTGTTTATATATATATATATATATATCCATTATATATATTTTCTCTTGTTGTTATATGTATGTGTATTTGTGTTCTTATTGCATATTATTCGTTCCTTCTTTTATCTCATTGCTGCTGTTGCTGCTGCTGCTGTTGCTGTTGCTGCTGTTGCTGCTGCTGCTGTTGCTGCTGCTGCTGCTGCTGCTGCTGCTGCTGCTGCTGCTGTAGATGAGAAGAGCCTGGAGGAGGGGAAGCCCGCGACAGCAAAACTGCAGATGTTGGATTCTGTTTGTAGAGAATTAGTAAAGGTATGTAGAAAAAGAGACAAAAATAAATATAATTATTAATTAATTATTAATTAATTAATTAATTAATTAATTAAATAGAAAAGGAGAGACAGTGCTGCTGCTGCTGCTGCTGCTGCTGTTGTTGTTGTTGCTGCTGCTGCTGCAGCCAAAGTGGCGCCATTGGTTTATCTCTGAAGGTTGTTGCCAGGTGGGTACAGAAGGGTGGGGTTGTTCTTATGGTTTGTGCTGCTGCTGCTGTTGCTGCTGCTGCTGCTGCTGCTGTGTTGCTGCTGCTGCTGCTTGTGCTTCCCTGTGGTTGTTGAGTATTTTTAATTAACATATACATATACATACATATATATATATACATATACATATACATATACATATACATATACATATACATATACATATACATATACATATACATATACACATATATACATATATACATATATACATATACACATATATACATATATACATATATACATATATACATATATACATATATACATATATACATATATACATATATACATATATACATACATATATAAATATATACATATATAAATATATAAATATATACATAAAGATGTACATATATACAGGTATTAGCTGGTTGGTTAGCTCCTTTTCGTGACGAGTCTCTCCCTAATGCCTCCCTACGTCATCGTTTATTACAAGTTATTAATCAATTGCCTATTACTGCACAAGATTTAGCTAATAATGATCTAGGAAAAGTACTCGTACTATTATGGCAACATGATGGTAAGAAATATTACGGTTTAGGGTCTAGGGTTTAGGGTTTAGGGTTTAGGGTTTAGGGTTTAGGGTTTAGGGTTTAGGGTTTAGGGTTGAGGGTTTGGTTTTTAGGGGATGATGGAGCTTCTAAAGAATCTATGGTCTAGTTGGGTTCACAGGGTTTAGGGTTTAATAGGTTTCAAGGTTTAGGGTTTAGGGTTTAGGGTTTAGGGTTTAGGGTTTAGGGTTTAGGGTTTAGGGTTTGTGTATGTTTATAGATGAGACAGAAGCGAATAGACAATTAATAAGAAGTCTTATTCAAAAATGGATGAGGCCCATACTAGGACTTGGATCCAGGTATACAATTGCTCCTGCTGTTGCTGCTGCTGCTGCTGTTGCTGCTGTTGCTGCTGTTGCGTTTTCTCTCGCGGATTGCATTGTACCTCGCTGCTGCTGCTGCTGCTGCTGCTATTTTATTGCTGCTGCTGTTGCTGCTGCTGCTGCTGCTGTTCAGCCACCGGCAGTTGATGTCTGAGAGGGAGAGAGCCTTCGAGGCAAACGACTTAGAGCTGCAGCAGAAGCTCGTCAGAGTGGGTCCTTGTTGCTGCTGTTGCTGCTGCTGCTGCTGTTGCTGCTGCTGCTGTTGCTGCTGCTGCTGCTGTATCTGTATGGAGGTGTCTGTAGATGCATGTTTGTATTGAGAGGCATCTCTCGCTGCATGCATGGATGGATGCATGCATGCATGCTTGCGTTGCTGCAGTTGCGGTGTATATGCTGTTTATTTGCTGTGTCTGCTGCAGGCAGCACAGGCAGCGCAGCAATTCTCTCAGAAGTCAGAGGGTAAGACAAGGGTTTAGGGTTTAGGGTTTTATTGTTTGTTTTTTTGTCTCCTTTTTTATTTATCTGTCTCCTTTTGTCTCCTTTTGTCTCCTTTTGTCTCCTTTTGTCTCCTTTTTTTTTATTAACAGCGGAGATAGCAGCAGAGCAACAAGCAGAGAAGAGAAGAAGAACAGCAAGAATACCTCTCAACAGAGGGCACAACTTTATCGTACGTGCTGCTGCTGTTGCTGCTGCTGCTGTTATTGTTGCTGCTGCTTCTCCTGCCTGCAGCAGCAGCTGTATAGTGTCTCCTTTTGCTGTCTCCTCTGTCTCCTCATCTATCTGCAGATACAGCCGAAGCCGCAAATAGATCTAGAGGAGGCAGAAGCAAAGCAGCAGCAGGCATCGCAGGTACGCACTCCCCTTCGAGCAGCAGCTGCAGCAGCAGCAGCTGCTGCTGCAGCAGCTGCTGCAGCAGTAGTGCCTGGAGCAGCAGCAGGTGCATGTAACAGTAGTTTCTTTGCTCGTAAAGTGCATGCATGCATGCTGTTGCTGCTGCTGCTGATATTGCTGCTGTTGCTGCTGCTATTGCTGATATTGTTGCTGTTGCTGCTGCTGCTGCTGCTGTTGCTGCAGCTGAATCGGGCATTGCGCCTTGGATCGAGGGCACCACGTCGCCCCACAAAGGCAGCAAAAGTCTCAATAGAGGGCCGCGGGCTGTAACTGCAGCAGCTGGTGCAGCAGCAGCTGCTGCAGTTGCACTTGCAGCAGCTGCTGCAGGCAGTAGATCATCAAGAGCAGCTGCTGCTTGCTGCAAGCCTTTGCATCTGCTGCTTCGTGCTTTTTCTTCTCTAGCTAGCAGCAGCAGCAGGAACAGCAGCAGCAGCAGCAGCAGCAGCAGCAGCAATAGATGTATTGGTTTGCTGTCTTATGGGGGTCGACCTTTTTCCTGTTATGTTTATGTTTGTCCTTTTCCTTTTATTATTTTATTATTATTTATTATTTAATTATTTATTATTTATTATTATTTATTATTTATTATTTAGTAATAATAAATAATAAATAATAAATAATAAATAATAAATAATAAATAATAAATAAATAATAATAATAATAATAGGGATAAGATAAACACAAACACTATTTTATTGTTATTTATTTATTTATTTATTTATTTATTTATTTATTTATTTATTATTATTTATTTTATTAGCTTACTACTAATATAATTATTATTAGTTTATTAGTTTATTATTATGTTATTATTATTACTATTTATTTTATTACTATTGTTACTATTGCGCCGTGCATGCACGCCGTGCATGCACGCCGTGCATGCACGGCATATACACCTTCGTGTATCTACACAGAAACCCTAAACCCTAAACCCTAAACCCTAGCCTCAGCCAACTCAACTCGACCAGCGAGAAAGTAAGGGGTTTAGGGTTTAGGGTTTAGGGTTTAGTTGCACCAGTTGATTGTAGGGTTTAGCTAACAAGAGGAGAAGCAAAGACACAAATGCATGCATGCATTAAACACTGTATGCATGCATGCATGCATGCGCGCCTATCAAGGCTGCAGCAGCAGCAGCAGCAAATAGGATGGAGAAGACCGCAGCACACAGAAGAGACCAATGGACAGACCGACGGTCGGCTGCAACACCTGCAGTGCTCCTTCTGCTGCTGCTGCTGCTGCTGCTGTTGCTGTTGCTGCTGCTGCTATCTCAGTAGCCCTACCATTATAATGTAAAGTAAGAAACTATTTTTGTAATAAATAAACTTATCTATAAGAGGGAGACAGCAGCAGCAAGTGCAGCAGCAGCAGCAGGACGCCTGGGGCCCTGCATGCACAGCAGATATAGTCAATGTCTTCCTGCTGCTATTGTTGTTTTTATGTTTATCTTTTCTTCTTTTTTGCTTCTTCTTTGCTTAAGTATCCTTATTTCTGTCTACGTCACTACATAGGTGCAGCGGCTGCTGCAAGAGCAGCAGCAGCAGCAGCAGCAGCAAACAGCAACAACAGCAGCAGGAGAGGGCCTTAGGGTCACCTCTTTTCTCCTTGCTTGTGTTGCCTTACCTAAATATATTTATTACTTTTATTTTTATTTTTATTGTTCTATCTTATTTAAAAGACAGTAAGAAACAAACAACAGCAGCAAACAGCTGCTGCTGCTGCTGCTGCTGCTGCTGCTGCTGCCTCGGCCACCGCCGCTTCCACTCCTGCTGCTCTTGTTGCCACTGCTGCAGTTGCTGCAGTTGCTGCACTTGCTGCTGCCGCGGAGCTTGTCTCGCCCTGAAACCTTTCTGTCTTTGTTCTATAGAAAAGGTCTGGATGCCTTCTAACTCCCTGCTTGCTGCTGCTGCTGCTGCTGTTGCTGCTGCCACTGCTAACAGCAGCAACAGCAGCAGCAAGAGGGTTAGCTGTCTCCTTCGGCACAGCGACAAAGAGACACCTGAAGGACGGTCAGCATAGTAGGCGGAGCTAACACCCAAAAGGTTACTCCCGCTGCTGCTGCTGCTGTTGCTGCTGCTGCCGCCAGCGTCACGACTGTGCCGCTGAGGGAAGCTCCCGCTGCTCCCCTCGCAGCACAGACAGCAAAGGTCCACAGATGCCTCCGCTGCTGCACCTGTCTTCAAGCTGCAGTAGCAGCAGAGCCATATGCAACAGCAGCAACAACAACTGCAGCAGCAGCAACAGCAGCAGCAGCAGTAGCAGCAGCCAGACAAACAGGAGCAACAGGGAACTGGAAGATGGAGCAGGGCCAGAACTCCGGGCCTCCAGGCCAGCAGCAGCAGACTTCCCACGGCAGTGAGCAGCAGCAGCAGCCACTAGCAGGGGCAGCTGGCCTGCAGCAACATCGAACTATGCAGCAGCTGCAACAACAACAGCAGCAGCAACAGCAGCCACAACAGCAGCAGCAGCTGCATCCCGGATCTGGCGATGTCCCTACTGCAGCAGTTGCTTTCGCGAGTAATCCTGTGCAGCAGCTGCATGCGTTGCAGCAGCAGCAGGTGTTGCAACAACAGCAGCTGCTGCAACAACAGCAACTGCTGCAGCAACAGCAACTGCAGCAGCATCGGCAGCTACTGCAGCAGCAGCAGATGCAACTCGGGCAGCAGCTTCCCTTAATTCAAGAGGGACAGCAGCTGCCCATCGAATCGTTGCAGTGGGCAAGCTCTCAAGACATGCAGCAGCAGCTGCAGCAGCAGCTGCAGCAGCAGCAACTCCACCAGCAGCAGCTACAGCAGCAGCTCGAGCAACAACTGCACCAGGCTCAACTGCAGCAGCAGCTAGATCTGCAGCAGCAACAGCATCTTCAACAGCAGCTGCTGCAACGTGCTGCAGCACAAGGCATGCGTCGTCCATCCAGTCTTGCGGAGCAAGGCCTTCAGCAGCAGCAACTGCAGCAGCAGCAGCAGCACCTGCTGCAACCTGTGACAGGGATGCAGCCGGCTCAGCCACTCTACCAGCAGCAAGACAGTTTGGGCCTGCAGCAACAGCCGATGCAGCAGCAGCCGCTGCAGCAACAGCCACTCCAGCAACAGCCGCTCCAGCAACAGCCGCTCCAGCAACAGCCGCTCCAGCAACAGCCGCTGCAGCAGCAACAGGTGCAGCGACAGCCGCTGCAGCAGCAACAGGGGCAGCAGCAGCCGCTGCAGCAGCAACAGGTGCAGCAGCAGCCGCTGCAGCAGCAACAGGTACAGCAGCAGCAGGTCCAGCAGCAACCAATGAACCCTTTGCAGCAGCAGCAGCAGCAGCAGCTACATCTGCGTTCTGCCATGCAAGACCGGCAGGAGCAGGAGCAACAACGGCAGCAGCATTTGCAGCAGCAGCAGTTGCTGCTGCTGCAGCACAGGGATGCAAGACTCCGCCTGCAGCAGCTGCGCCAGGAGCAAGGGCAGCCAGCAGCAGGAATAGCAGCAGAACCCTTTGCTTCCTCTCCTCCTCTTTTCCGCCGTGCCTCCTACCTCCCTACTCTTGGCGGCCGCAGCAAGAGCAGCAGCAGCAGCAGCAGCGGGAAAAGCCTAGAGTACCCCTTGGCGCAGGGTAACACTAGATGCATCCACTGCAACAGCATCAGCAGTACCAGCAGCAGCAGCAGCAGCAGCAGCAGCACCTGCAGCTGCTGCAACAAACCACAGCCTGCAACAAGGAGCGAGTGGAAGGCCAGCTTTATTAACAGCTTGGCTATGCAGAGGCAGCAGCAGCAGCAGCAGCGCGAACAGCAGCGGCAGCAGCAGCAGCAGACACAGCAACAGCAGCCAGAATCCCAGCAAACCCTCCAGCCGCTGCAGCAGGTGACAACACCACAACGGGAGGAACTGCAGCAGCCGCAGCAGCAGCAGCAGCCGCAGCAGCAGCAGCCGCTGCGGGACCAGCCGGTGTTGCAACATATGTTGCCAACTCCGCAGCAACAGGCTGCTGCTCAGCAGCAGCCGCAGCAGCAGCCTCAGCAGCAGCAGCCTCAGCAGCCCGTGTCTCCACAACTGTCCCCTCTGCTACTTGCGGGACATCAGACCCAGCAGGAGCCCGTCTTGGTGCCTCAGCAGCAGCAGCAACCCCAGCAGCAGTCGCAGCAGCAGCCTCAGCACCAACAGCAACCGCAGCACCAACAGCAACCGCAGCACCAGCAGCAACCGCAGCAGCAGCAGCAACCGCAGCAGCAGCAGCAGCAACAGCAGCAGCAACAGCCCCAGGATATTGGCATGCAGATCGCATCGTCGGGAGCAGTGATAGAAGCGGCTGCTGCTCCTGCTGCTCCAGCTGCTGCTGCTGCTTCTCCTCCTCTTGCTGTCCCCCCCCTAGGTAGGGCCCCCACAATCCCAGTTGCGGGGGCCCCCCCAGCAGCGCCTTTGGGGGCACCTCCATTTCTGTCAGGTACAGGGGGTGGCCCTCTGGGGTCGGGAACGGGGCCCCCCCTCAGCACCACTATGGGGGCCCCCAGTCATTCTTCCACGTGGCTGCATGGCTCTGCTGCCGGTGGGCTGGGTGGCAGCGGGCTCAGCAGCAGCGGCAGCAGCAGCAGCCGAACCAGTAGAAGAACTAGTAGCGGCGGCAGCAGCGGCAGCAGTGGCAGCAGTGGCAGCAGCGGCAGCAGCGGCAGCTCCCTTGAGGGCCCCTCAGCGTTTTTCGGCGTTGGGGTACTGGAGGCAGCAGCAGCAGCAGTGGAAGCAGCAGAAGCAGCAGAAGCAGCAGCAACTGCAGCGGCAGCGGCAGACGCAGCAAGCTCAGTAGAGAGCAGCACCCGCAGCAGCAGCACAACAACAATTCAGGGCAGCAGAGGGAGGTATGCTAGCAGTATCAGCTACCTGACGACACAGCAGCTGTCAGCAGCAACAGCAGCAGCACCAGCAGCAGCAGCAGAAGCAGCAGCTGCAGCTACAGCTGCCCGTCTGGGGGCCTCTTGGGGGAGCGTGCCAACCACCGGTAGTATACCTCCGACGCTCCTCCAGCAGCAGCTGTTGCTGCAGCAGCAGCAGCTGCAGCAGCAACAACTACAGCAGCAACAGCAAATGCTGCAGCAACAACAGCAGCAGCTGCTGCTGCATGCATATCCAACGGTGCCTGACCAAAGCGCCTTCGGTACTTCTTCAGCGTTGCTGCCAACCCACGTGGGGACGGCAGCAACTGCCCCAGTAGCAGCAGCAACAGCAGCAGCAGCAACAGCAGCAACAGCAACCGCAGCAGCAACAACGGCACAGATACACCAACAGGTGCAGCAGCAGCAGCAGCAGCTTCAGCTTTCAGCAGCAAATCTGATGCAGCAAGAGGCAACGCAATCCGTAGGTATAACAGCAGCAGCAGTATCAACAGAATCAGCACGACCAACAGCAGCAACTGCAGCAACAGTACCAGCAGCAGCAGCAGCAGCAGCACAGACATATGTGGCTGCTGGTGCATCTTACGGCTCACTTACGCAGCAGCAGGACACTACTCCGTGGCAGCAACAGCAGCAACAGCAGCAGCAACAACAGCCGCTGTCATCGTTGCAGCAGCCACTCCGGCAGCTCATGGGGCAGCCGCCGGAGCAGGTCGTGCTGCAGCAGCCGCCGCCGCAGCAGCAGCAGCAGTATCCACGACAACTCCCACTGGAGCAAACAGCATTGGGGCAGCAGTTGCAAACGCTACAGCAGCAGCAGCAGCAGCAGCAGCAGCAACAGCAACAGCAGCAAGAAGCTCTTCAGCAGCAACAAGAACAGGGCGCTCCCGAGCAGCACCATCACCAGGGTTTGCTGCAGCAAGATCTGCTGCAGCAGCAAACGTATCAGCAGCACCTTGTGCAACAACTGCAGCAGCAGCAGCAGATCGAACAGCAGCAGATGCAGCAACTTCACACTGAACAGCAGCAAGTGCAGCAGCAGGAGCAGCAGCAGGTGCAGCAGGATCTTTTGCAGCGACTCGATGCCACGACTCCGCAGCAAAACCTGCAGCAGCAGCAGCAGCAGCCCGTTGCTGCTGCACCGTTGACACTCGAGCAAGTTACACCACCTTCAGCAGCAGCAGTAGCACCAGCAGCAGAATATTACCAGCAGCAAGTGGATGCGCAGCAGCTGCTAGTTGCTTCTGATCAAGTGCAGCAGAGCCAAGCGCAGCTGGAACAGGAGATGCATGCTCTGCAGCAGCAGCAACAACAGCAACAGCAGCAACAGGCAGCAGCTGATGCTTTATCACATCAGCTTGTGGGCGAAGAGGCATTTTTGCCACTGCAGCAACAGCAGCAGCTGCAGCAACAGCAACAGCTGCAGCAACAGCAACAGCTGCAGCAACAGCAACAGCTGCAGCAACAGCAACAGCTGCAGCAGGACAGCCAGAGTAGTTACCTTGGGCAGGCCCAAATTACTGGTGGAGAGCAGCAGCAGCAACAACAACAGCTTCAGCAGCAGCTACAGCAGCAACAGCAGCAACAGCTTCTGCAACAGGTGCAGCAGCAGCAGCAGCAGCAGCAGCAGCCATACGATTTATCGCAGCTGCAGGTGTTAGCAGATAAGTGGCTACAGGAGAGACTTCAAGGTTCTGTTGACCCCTTTGATATTTTCTTACAGAAGCATGCAGCAGCAGTAGCAGCAACTGCAGCAGGTGCTGCTGCAGCAAGAACTGCAGCAACCGCAACAATGACAGCAGCAGGTGCTTCGGCAGCATCGACTGCAGCAGCAGCAGCTGCTGCTGCTTATGCTGCAGGACAGATGGGTCTTACTGCCAGTCTATCAGGAAGCCACGTACTACTAAGCCAAGGCCAATCAGTAGCCTCAGGCCCCAGCAGCAGCAGTAGCAGCAGCAGCAGCAGCAGCATTTGGGGCCCAGGTGATAGTTCAGGTTTCTCCCTTGAGAAGCCACAATGGCGTCCGATAGTTGAAGGTGAGGCGGACAGAAGGAGCAGCAGCAGCAGTAACAGCAGCAGCAGCAGCAGAAGCAACAGCAGCAACAGCAACAGAAGTGTTCGCGGAAGCAGCAGCAGCAGCAGCAGCAGTAGCAGCAGACCCGAAGTAGTCCATGATCCTCACCCACCACGGCCTCCTCCAGACACCAAAACAAAAGACAGTAGCAGCAGCAGCAGCAGCAGCAGCAGCAGCAGCAGCAGCAGCAGCAGTAGCAGTAGCAGTAGCAGCAGTAGCAGGAACACTATGCGTATGACCCATCAATGTGACCGTAGTAGCATGCCTCATGCAAAACCGCGTAGCAATCCAAGCAGCAACAATCCCACAAGCAGCAAACCAAGCAGCAGCAGCAGCAGCAGCAGCAGCAGCAGCAGCAGTAGTAGACGTAGAAAAGAGGGCCGTCGACTAATAATTGTTGCAAATAGACTTCCTCTTAGCGTCGAAATGAAGAGCGATGGATCGTTTATATACAAAGAGAGCGGAGGGGGACTTGTATCGGGACTAAAGGGAATAAATAAGGGACTAAGATATATAAATAAAGGATTAAATAAAGAAATAAATAATAATAATAATAAAATAAATAATAAAAAAAAAAAAATAAAAAAAATAAATACATGTATATGGGTTGGTTGGCCAGGTATAGAGGCACCTCCTCTTATAAGACCACGTATATCTGCAGAATATATAAAAAAAAATTGTTTTCCTGTTTTTCTTGATAAACAGACAATACATTTTTATTATAATGGATTCTGTAATAATATATTATGGCCTCTTCTTCATTACCTTCCTCCTCCTATTAATCTTGATCATACACAAGAACAAACTCTTATGCAATGGAGGGCTTATGTACATGCTAATGAATTATTCTGTGATGCTGTCTCACAGGTAAATAATATATAAATTGTCTCCCTTTTGTCTCCTTATTGTCTCCTTATTGTCTCCTTTTTGTCTCCTTTTTTTTTCTCCTTTTTTTTTCTCCTTTTTTTTGTCTCCTTTTTATATATACTCTTATGTAATGGAGGGCTTATGTACATGCTAATGAATTATTCTGTGATTCTGTATCACAGGTAAGGATAATATATTTATATTTATTGTCTCCTTATTGTCTCCTTATTGTCTCCTTATTGTCTCCTTATTGTCTCCTTATTGTCTCCTTATTGTCTGCTTGGTGTCTCCTTTGTGTCTCCATTGTCTCTCTCTCTCTTTTGTCTCTTTTTTTGTCTCCTTTATATATATAGTCTTATGCAGTAGATGTACATGCTAATGAACTCTACAGCTAAATATATACTTGCATATAATAAATAAATAAATAAATAAATAAATAAATAAATAAATAAATAAATAATATAAATATGTGTGTATATATGTATGTATATATTAGGTATTACAACATGATGATTTAGTATGGGTACATGATTACCATCTAATGTTATTACCTAAGTTACTACGTGATCGTTGGCGTAGTACTAACAACCCCACCAGCAACCCCACCACAATAAACACCATTATGGCTACAACAGCAGCAACAGCAGCAACAGCAGCAACAGCAGCAGCAACAACAACAACAGCAACAACAATGACAACAACAATCCCTACAATGAGCAGCAGCAGCAGCATGACCACCAGCAGCATGAGTATGAACAT